AACTATAAAGCTAAACTGATTTCCATCTTGAGGATGCATGTCGATGTGTTTACTTGGTCGACCGAGTAAATCTTAATCATAATTATTGATATGACTTGCCTCAAACTGAGCGTGCACCTCGATGTTCAACCTATAAAACTCAGGATCTTCCTGGTTGAATATGGCTGTGAATTTACCTCGAGGATCGTTAATCGCTCGAAAACTGATTCAAATTTTGGCTCGAATTGAGATTGAATTGAAATAGATGAGCCTAGCTATGAGTCAAAATTTTGGATCAAATTTTCTTCATGCCGACACCAACTCGACTAGAAATCGGATCATTAGTAACCCTAGTGATGTTAGGGCTATGAATTTAGTGAATTTATCTCCAGGATCATTAATAGCTTGAAAATTGATTTGAATTTTTGCTCGGATCAAGATCTGATCGAAATAAATGAGCCGAGATATGAGCCAAAAATTTTGGATCAAATTTTTTTCAAGCCGATTTTGAGTCAACCCCTGCTTGGCTCGAAATTGGATCATTAAAACTCTACTATTGCAATAGTGTTGGCTGGAACCTATTTGAAGGGAGGTGCAGAAGTTCTTTGAGCTTGGATTCATTAGGGAGGTTCAGTATCTCATCCAAAATGTGAATGGAAAATAACGAATATGTGTCGACCTCATGAACCTCAACTTGTTCTACCTAAAAGATAGTTATACATTCACTTGAATTCACACCCTGGTCAACTTTGTGATTGGCTGTCCAATGTTGAGCTTTCTTAATGTCTTCTCAAGTTGCCATTAAATTATAATGCATCTTGTGGATAGCAATAATAGCATTCATTATAGGGGATTGATTATTTTATTATAATGTAATACTTTTTTGCTTATAAAATTATTGGGGTGATCTATTGCTGGATGTAATTTTTAAAAATAAAAAATGATGAATATTTGAAGTGTATATTGATGATGTGTTGGTAAAAAATAATAATCCTTTATAAGACATACAAGACCTAAAATAAACCGTCGTCACTCTCCTGAAATTTCAAATGAAACTAGACCCACTCAAATGCACTTTCAAAGCCCAAACAGGAATATTTTTAGGATTTCTGTTCACCCTGGATGGGTTCAGAATGAACCCGGAGTAGGTGCAAGCAATCTTAGACATGCCCTTGCTGAGTGTAAAGGAACTACAAATGTTAACATGTTTACTTGGTGCCCTAAACGGGTTCATTTCTCGCATGGAAAACAAATGTTCAGTTTTCATTAAAACACTAAGGAACTCCATGTGATTCATTTGGGACGATGATTGTGAAATAACATTTAACCACTTGAAGACTCTTAATACTTGCTATTTTTGCTTCTGCCCAATGCCGTGGGAAGAACTCCTATCATACCTAGGAGTTGGTGAAGTGTTTGTTAGTTCAATACTGGTTAGAAGAGAAGGGTGCATTTAGTTCCTTGTTTGCTATGCGAGCAAAGTTCTAAGCGGCATCAAACTGAGGTACCCTATCACAGAGATATTGACATTCACCCTCATCGTCACCGTAAGAAGGCAACAATCATATTTTCAAGCACATCCAGTTTGCATCCTCACTGACCGACCACTAAAGTCTGTACTTGCCAAGCCTAATCACTTTGGGGGACTACTTAAGTGGTTTGTTGAGTTGAGTGCATTCAACCTCAGCTACTCGCTTCGAACAACCGTCAAGGCATAGACATTATCACATTTTATGTTCGACTTTTCGAAAGAAGCGACACCCCTTGAAGAAATTGTGTGGAAGCTTTTCGTCAATGGCGCCTCCAGTGTGCAAGGGTTTAGCGTTGTACTTGGGAGCTCTGTTGGAGTCATTCTACCCCATGCCATACAATTTTGGTGGCCCTTGACCAGTAACTAGGTAGAGCATGAAGCAGTAATCATTGGCCCGAGGTTCATGATGGGGATATGCATCCAATGCTTTGCAGTACTCTGACGCTCAATTAATCGTGCACCGTGTTAATGACCAATATGAAGTAAGAGAATAAACGCTTCAGAGATTCTATTCAAGATGAAGACCAAAATAAATAGACTCAAATACTTCAGAATTGAGCATATCCCCAGAGAAAGAGAATCAATTTGTTGCCTTCTACCCATGATGGGAAATCTTTAGGTAAACTTTACTATCACTCATATGCGTGAGATAAGCTGAAATTGCCTGCATCTATGAAAAACTCACCCAGGAGAACGTGAGAGTATTTTGGAAGGCATGCCTTGGCGAACATGACTCTTGATCAAGAATACTTCTGACTGTCATTCTGAAAGGATGATGAAAATTTTTCGAAGAAATGCCCTCAATGCCATAAGCATGCACTACCGAAGCTCCAACCCTTACACAAACTGTAGCCAACATCCAACCCCTGGCCCTCTGTCATCTCAGGGATGGACCTTCTCGGCCCGTCACAGTAAGCGAAAGAATTCATTAAAAAAGCATGCTCTCACTTGTTGGCAACAACCACTTTATGACATATATAAGTTTTTTATCAGGAAATTGAATTCTAGAAAGACAAAGAATAACACATAAAACTAATTCGAAGCGGGGAAAAATGAAGATTTAATTTCATATTATTAGATTCCATAAAGTTCTCTACTGAAATATGACATTTCTATTCAATTTTATCATATAGACAATCATGCTGTTGAAATAAAATAATTCAAGTAGTTTTAAAATTAGTCTCAATGAATTATGCATCATTAAGTTCAACTAGTCATGTAATTTTAACCTTGTTGTTTCCTTTTTCAAAGTCATCGAAGTGACCATGTGGCTGGTCTTTATAATCAATGAATGAAAGATATTTTTCTTTATATGAATGTTTCATATCAGTCAATGAAAAATTATTTTAATATCCACACTTCATTGAAATATTTTCCATTAATTATATTTTAATAAGTCAACTGCTTGGGAATCAAACATACTGTATTAAAAAAAAATTAAGTGGTTTGTCCAATCTGAAAATACTATAGGATTATACCTCCCATCAAATGTAATGTTGGAACTCTCAAACTCCATGATAATAATATTGAATTGTCTTGACTTGAAAGTAAAATTGGTTTTTATCTAAATTCTTAAATTATCTGGACATTATGTCTTATGTCTAGAAGATGTTGCGATGCAATCTTAAGCTCTAAAATTAACTTTGATGTTTGGTCTATGGTTTCTTATGTAGATCTCATATAAGATGTGAAAGCAAAAAATAGAACAAGCATGTGTAATTAATTGAATTCAAACTTTTAAACTTTAAATAATGATTCATTGTTTTTATGATAATTAAAAGACAAACACGACGGAGATCAATTTAGATGAAATCTAATGGCCTTCTCTTATAAATAATAATTAGAAACTCAATGTCAAGAAAGCCACACAAATCTCTTGAAATTAAAGCCAGTGCTTTCAAATCAATAACAAAAGATAGAAGAATAAAGAAGTATAAAAATATAATTTCATCAAAAAAATAAACATCAAATCTGTGCAAGGAGATAAGTACCATTAGAATTTTGAAGTATATCACCGGATCGAATAATAAAATCTTGAAAAGCTGAATTTCACCTTTTTAAAATTTTTTAGTAGTATTTTTGATGTGATATGGAAGATTTGAGTGGTATAAATGTCCAATGCGAAGTTTAGGTGTTAGATTTGTGAACGCTCCTTTTGTTTTTTGTTAACTAGTTTGTTTTCTTTGTGCTGCCATCTTTGTTGAATTATACTATCGTTTTGAACCATTGATTTCCCTTTTTAATGCTTGAAAGTAGAGGTGTAAACGAGTAGAGCTAAGCTCAAGTCACTCCCTTGCGCTTAAGCGCAATTAATTAATCAAGTTTCAGCTTGAATTCGAGCTTAATTTTACGAGTTTGAGCAGGGTTGTTTATTGTAAAATAGAGAAAGTAATTTGATTATAGTTATTGTAATAAACCGGTAAAAAGAATAATTAATTAGAGAAGAAATAATAATAAATCACTTGACATACAAAAGTAGAAATTTTTTTAAAATATTTTTTAGTAATTTTATGTTGAAACTCTTAAATTCTAATATATAACAACAATAACTAACATTTATCCCACTAAGTGGGGTCGGCTACATGAATCCTTTTTCTCCTTTAGATCCTATTGAGGGTCATATTTTCATTTAATTTTAATAGATTAAGATCATTCTTTATACAATATGCCCAAGTCTTTTTAGGTTTATCTCAAGTCTTTTTAGGTTTATCTTATCTCAGTCTTTCTTAACATAAGTCGAATATAGAACATCTACTTTTCTAATAGGATCATCAGATAGTCGACGTTTAATGTGATCAAATCATTTAAGACTACTCTCTCTAATCTTGTCCACCACTGGAGCTAAACCAACCCTCTCTTTAATTTTGTCCGACCATCTCTTAAATTCCAATATATTTAAGTATATTTTATATTAATATTATTTAAACAAGCTGAAAGACAGTCAAGGCTTGCTCAAGCTCAGCTCATTAATTCGTCAAGCTTATCTCTTGAGTTATTTATCAAACCAAGGTTAAGTTGGCTCACAAATCGGTTTGACTCAACTCTGTTAAACCTTGGAAGCCCCAAAAGTTTTCAGGATAATTCTATTTATAGAATCAACTTTGCTTGCACTAGCATGCAACATAATGATTAAGGGTGTAGTATTCCACCTTGAGATCGTGGGTTTGAATCATACATCTTGCCCGGTTGGCTTCACCTTCTCTAAAAAAAACAAAAAAACTAACTTTGCTGCAGACTGTACATAAATTGCTCATCAGGCACCAATGACAAGGTAAAGTCTACTTTTGGTGATTGACAAAACCATTCCTTCTTTCTCTTCCTGAAAATTTATCTAATCATTTTCTAACTTCTAATGCAGAAATCCATGGCAACCTTTCATCAAATTTAGACTGTTTTATTTATTTTATTTTGAATTTTTATCTAATGCAGATTCTAGTTGATTCTCTCTTCTTTTATGTATTTTTCTGAACTAAATGTCTTCCATTTGTAGGGACTTGTGAAGACAGCATGAAGAGAGTAGCCTTATTGTAGTGCCCGCTATACTTGCAGAGCTACTTTGTTATGTACACTTGTGGTTGTTTTTATGATTTGGTCCAATAAATTAATCAAAACTGCAAAATTGTCTGCATTTATTCGAATCAAAAGAAGCAGGCTTTGATGTAAATTAAATTCACTCACATTCCAGTGAACCAAACTTTATAAATTACATTTGCATCAAGCAACCTCTTGAAGTGAAGGTGAAGGTTTGAATGAATATAAATTTGATAGGAAGGGTTAATACTGACAAAGTGGTGTATTATTTTGACAAATAATATCTGGCATGTAATAAATAATGTTAATAATAGCGCAGGATTTTCTGATGCTGATTTTGTTCAACAACCCTGACAAAAATGATCAATGAATGCCACATAATGTATATTATTTTGTTCAAGTTGAGCCTTAGTGTTCAATGTATATTGTGGAGCACATTAAATTTATGGTGAATGTGTCATGGGAGTTGAAGGTAGGGCTGTTAATGATACAAATTCGAGCGGAGCTGCGGTCGGCTTGAAATCGGCTCCTGACTTGTTATATTTGATTTCGAGCTGAATCGGCTCGAAATTGAAATTGAGTTGGCTCGAAATTGATCAGTTTTAGCTCAGAATTGGCGATTCAGCTCAAAATTAAAACTAATTAGCTCAATTTAAGTTATTTGGATCCATTCTAACTCGAAATTAGCGTGTGACTCGTTGTACTTATTTATCTAGCGTTATATGCATACTTTCATAAATAAAAATATTGTAAGTTGATCTCGATTCAGTTCAAGTCGATTTATGTATGACTCGAAATTGGTTTAATTCGGCTCACAATTGAAACTAATTAGCTCAAATTAAGTTATTAGGATCCTATTCCATCTTGAAATTGGCTTGTGACTCGTTATATTCAATTTTAGTTAGCATCATATATAGGGCTATCAAAAAAACTCGTTGTTCACAAACGGTTCGTGAACAACGCTTATTTATAAGAATTGTGCAGTATACATTTAAATGTTTTTTAAAATCAGTTTTTATCAAATTTAAATAAAAATATTTATTTAAGATAAATTGACTTTTAGTGAGAACAAGATTAAAAATTAATAATTAAAATATATTTCCAATTTTAATCTCCTAATTGAAGAATATTCTTTCACAACCTTTGCTTGAATAAGGATACCATTGCCTGAGCTTTTTCAAAGCCAAGAAAACATCATATTTCATGGCAGACTATTATTTTATTATTATTATTATTATTATTCTACACAGTATTATTTTTTAGCATCATGTCCGTAGACGATAAGGCACCCAACTCACTAGAAACAATATATATATTAATATATTAAAAAAATGACTGGAGGCTATTATACGAACTCCCAGCTACCCTCATGTGCCTAAGTATTCGAGGATCGCCCCCACTACCGACAAACTAGCTAAAGGGGGATTTGAACCCGAGGCCTGAGAGGATTTACGACCTTCTAAGAAGCTGCTCTACCAACTTGTTATGACTGGCAAAGCGCGCGCACACACATAGATGTAGATATAGATATATATAGAATCAAAGTAGCAAGATGGTTGGAATTATATTATTTTTTAACTTAGAGTCGAAAGTATGAATCAAAATTACATCAACATAAAATAACAAAAAAAAAGTAGAGAAAAATGAATGGTTGATCTTTCCACATAGCTCTTGAAATAGTATATCTGTTATTGGTAGTTCATTGACTGACTTCATAGCTGTTTTTTAGCCGATTGTTCAGCTGCAAATCACGTGCATCACCTACAAATGAATTGTTTATTACATGGATCACAAATTTGTATTAAACAAAATAGAGATTTACATACATACCGTTCAATTTCTATGTATTTATAAGTCTAAGAACTAAAGCCTAATTTTATATAATGTCATACTAAGGGCCCGTTTGGGGCAGCTTATTTGGTACGGTGGCGTTTTGAAAACACAGCTAACTTGTTTTGATAAACTGTGTTTTGGCAGCTTATGCGTTTTCAAAACGCAGAAAACACCGTTTTCACACCGCATGGGTGCGGTCACAGCTTATTGGCAACGGTCTGACTTTTCCAAAAAAATAAAAAAATTTATAATAACCACCGCACCTAGTTTATAGACATATTATAATCAGTTTATCGACAGATTATTCAATAAGCTACAGCTGCCCAAACAGACTCTAAGTTTACATGAAAATGTGTATTTTACTTTTAAAAATTTTGTGACATTAAGAAATTGGGTGGTATGAATGTAAAGTAAAATTTAGGTGTGTGATATATATGTAAATACATGGGAATCGGGCGGTATGTATGTAAATGCCCCAAAAGGTATTTTTGTGTTATCTTTCCCTCACTAAATAATATTTTATTATTTTTGAATATTTGATAAAGATGCTTGTATAAAGCACTATAGTTATATCTTTTGATGATAAGAAAATAATAATCTTAAGAAGTTTTGAATAAAAAAGTAATTTACTTTATTATTATTATTTATTTTTTGTATAGTGGCAATTAGTTAAAAGCGTGTCGCATACCTCGGTCTGTTGGTTGGCATTTACAGTATAAGACCTCTCAAGCTGGGGTACGATTGGCTTTAAGAATGTGGTACTCGAATTGTTACCGGGGTTCGAATCCCCTTTGGCACGATTGGCTTTAAGAATGTGGTACTCGAATTGTTAGGAACATTAATGGTGGCTGGAGGCTCGTAAACCTTTACAAAAATTAAAAAATAATAATAATAACTAGTTAAAAGTGTATTTTCAGCCAACACCTACAATCACCATCATTCGCCATCGAGTAACTAACGACGTTGATAGTCCATCAATGTCGATGGTCATCACCACCCAACTATTTTTAGCGGCCATTAACTTTACACTAACATCTTTCATTCTTTAAATTTTTCTAACATTTTAACTACTCTTTATAGAAATTGCAATGAATATCTAAAATTTATCATTTCATTCCCTAATTGAGAGAAGGGAAAAACTCTTGTACATATCAGCTTAGATAATAAAATATTTTAGTTTGGTATGAAATTAACTCATCTTCTACCATTGCAAGTTCTTTGAACATGCAACAATTAGAATTTCTATTTTTAAAATCATAACTATGCTATTAAAAATGATACAAATTTTATAGTTGAATTTCATAATAAATTTAGAAGAATTTATATACATACCACACAATTATTATATATTTACATGATGGTGGAGTTATAAGTTTTTGTAGGGAGAATACTACATGACTATTTAAAAACACCCTCAATTTATTTTATGTAATAATTTGATTTCTATATAAAATTATTATTATTATCATTATTATATAAATTTAAACTTGAATAAAAAAACATTTTTTTTTAATTATGTGTTACACATTAAAAAATAATAAGAACATATATGCACATAAAATAAAAATCACAAATATATATATAGATATACATGTATACATATACATATATAGATATACATGGACATACATATACATATCTACATATACAATTTATAAAGAGAAGGCAAGGAGGAGAAGTGGAGAAGAAGAGAAATTTTAGTTTGTTTTAGAGAGAAGACAAGACGATAACCACAGACCCTCGTAGTTGTCGACCACCATTGATCACCAACTATCGATTATCGTCGACTACCACTGATTGTCACTGGCTGCTATCACCTATCATTGATCTCCAACAACCCCTGCTTGTAATCATTGTGTTTTAAATGGTTTGTTATATCTTAAAACTCTATAAACCTGATGATAACTATTGGCCTTCATAGTCTATGACCACCATTGATCACCACCAAGCAACTATCATTGACCATAGTTGACCTCCTGTAGTGGTCCCCGCCTACCATCGACCCCCCTTCTCGCAACCACTATATTCTAAATATGACTTGTGTCTAGCACATATATTGAAGACCCGACGATAATCATTGGCCTCTGTAGCTACCAAATACCATTGAATATTGTCTGTCTGTCAAATCACAATCATAACTACCTGCCGCAACTGACCATCAGGTTCTAAAAACCCATAAATGTAACTGTCATAACTAGACTACAATCTCTGCGGCCAAATGCCAATATTGTAATCACTTACTACAACCTTTATGACCAATTTTTGTATTTATAGCAACCAACTATGACCTTTGTGGCCACATATTATTGCTACATCTTTGAACTACGGTCTCTGTGTCCAAATGCTACTGCTACAACTTCAAACTACAGCATTTATGGCCAAATATCGCTATTACTACCACCAAATACAACCTTTTTTATGACCAACTATTGCATTTTTAGCAAGCCTTTATGGCCAACTAATGTTGTTATAGTTCCAAATTTGACCTCTATAAACAACTGTCACTATTGCAGCCACTGATAGCCTTTATGGCCAACTTCGACCTTTGTAGTAATCAACTATGAAATTTGTGGCCAACGAGTACTATTAGAGTTTCTAATTACAGCCTTTATGGTAAGATGTTGTTATTGCAGCTATCGACTACAACCTTTATAACCAACTATTGCTTTTATCACAACCAACTATAACCTTTATGACTCACTATAGCTATTATTGCTAAAAATCATATTTTTTGTAGACCAATAATGGTTATAATAGCTAACCTATTATTTTATATCTATGATTATCAGCTTTATAATTCTACCTTCATTTATTCAGGGGTAGACCCCATGGTTTTTCCCTTTATAGGGCCTTTTCATGTAAAAATCATGTTTCCCTTTTATGTTATTTTTATATTATATTTGTATTTGTTGAATCTTCATGCAATACTAAGACGTAAATTATCAATCTATTATCGTGAGTTTACTGTCACATGATAGTTTGGAACCTTATAGGAAAAATGAAGTCCAATGAATAAAATTTTGCACTTTTTTATAGCTAACAAACACAATACAGAAGCTTCACGGTCTAAAGCTTGTCATTAGATGACATAATCTTGATGTCAAGAGCACTAAACTTCTATTTCATTTTTTAGTGATATACTTCACCTAGATGGCAAAGGAACCACCTCTAGACCTCTAGAATATTGTGTAGGAAGAATGAAGGAGTCTCAAAATGAGATCCTTTAACTTTTACATGTGGCAAAGAAGCTGATGATATTGCATACTGGAGGGGTGCATCAATCTCAAAATCTTCTAATTGAAGGTACATGATTAATTCCCCCTCCACACGCTAAAGTTCCTCCCAATGAAGTTGGTCTCCTTGACACTACTAATTTTACACATCCATCCCATGTAGTCAATCCTAACAATAAACCTCCAACTCATGTAGAGAACTTAGACGTAATCCATGATGAGTAACGAAGTTTAGTGCAAGATGAGTTCCTTATATTGGATCAAAGTTGTTTCTCTACTCGACATAATTCTTAGAAGTAAT